CATTCATACTCCCTACTGTTGGTCTTTTGCAAACCTTCAGAGTAGACTTCACTGTGTAATAATTCGATTTGGTCACTTACGGTCGATATTATTGATTTATTGTTTATCGGATTTTTCCGTTTACGTTAAAGACTGCTTTCAAGATATGGTGAATAATTTTTTTCAGGAGTACATTAAATACTCCAGTAATACTGGACAGGTTTTGGCATAGTCCAATCATAGTCCTTCTGTTTGATTTCACGAGTCGTTTGGTTTCTAAATTTCGCCTAGATGCGTATAAATGTTCTCGAAAAGTTGTTGATTCGATATATCTGTCGAGTGATGTTGATCAAACGAGAGTTGTGGTGACTTAAAACAGTAATTCTACTGTTCTGAACTTTTGGATTTTATATTGATGAACAAGAGTTCTGTTTTGCTATTTAAAAATTAATTATTTGATGCAAAATAAGCGCAAATATTCAAACGACAAAAAACAGAAAGATCTACTCGATCAGTAAACATTCTGATCTATCTGCTTTGATTATTTTGAATGATGATATGAAGTCACTATGTTGCTGGAGAGGAATAGCCAACCGGTTATTCATTTCAAAGTGGCATTTAATCAAAACTTAAAAACCGATATAGACTGCCACGATTCATAGTGATCTGGGTAATAGTTTATAGTGTGCCGAGGAGTTTCTTTTCTTTGACAACGAATTCATAGTTCGACAGAGGAAATATACTAAAAATATTAGTTTTTTTATGATTATCATTATGTTTTAAATGAGACGATAGATAATTAGTCGAAAGTCATAATTCTAAATCTCAATCACTTATATTTGCATGAATAGTCCTGATTACTTTCTGGAAATATTTTGCCCAATACATAATCGGCTACCTTTTTGCCCGTTCGCACACCTTCCATATATGCACCTTGTAGAGATCCGTAATACTCTTTTGAATACACTTCGCCAGTAAAATGAAGACGTCCAATTGGTCGCCGAAGATTATCATGTTGACACCGTGAGGTACCAACCGGCCAGTTACTGTACGAACCACGAAATAATGGATCTTCGGTCCATCGGTAATAGTAAAAATTAATGGGTTGTGGAATTTCATTTCCATACATCGATTTTAATACTGCCATAATTTCTGTCAATGTTTGGTTGTTACTTTGTGCTTCAACAATATAAGCTTGATCACTGACAACAGTAACAAATATTATATTACTATCTGGGAAAAAGCCGACTTCACTTAATGACTGCCATTGTGGATAATAACCTCGCCGGTATGGATCAGCATACAAAAAAAACTGTGTGTTATTCCAAAATTTGTGGGAAAATTGAAGAAAGATTTTCGTATAAGTTGCCATCTTAAAGGTAAAGATCGATTCTTGCTTCCATGCCGGAAATCTTGGTACAAATTGAACATCATTATGTTGTAGGACACCGATTGAAAATGTGCAGATGGCATAATCAGCCTCAATGACCATACCGTTTTGCAATGTAATGCTTATCGAATGGTTTGAATACTTCACTTTTGTAATGGTACTATTGTAGAGAACGTTTTTTTTATTCGTAAATGCTTTAGCTTCCTCACGCACTAACGTTCCGTACCCTCGTTCGTCTATACCCAAGCAGACAAAAATTTCAAAAAACGCGTTTAAACGCACAGTCGGGAACCGCGACTGTGATCCATTCACGCTCATTAAAAAAACGCAAGAAACGACATTTTTTGTGCA